CCCCCCCCCCCCCGACCGCCCACTTTTACTTTTACCGCAGTATTTATCATTTTTACTGAGCCTCATTTACGTGGCATGACATAGACTCGCTTCTTCTTCTTCTTGGATCGTTTGGAAGTCAATAAAAGCCATGGGTATTTTATCATTTTCATATATCGGTATTATTGGGCATATACTGGTAATTCTCTTTATAATATCGAGTACTCACTAAAATTATTTTTCAATATATGTAATAATTGGTTAATAATTAAAAACTAAAATTATACGAAGTTAATCTAATAATCACATAAAAAGTTCAAACCAAGAATCTTTTTACATGACGGAGGGAGTTAAAATCATAATCCATAACTTGATTTTAATGTATTTATGGTTAGTATTGAAAATAAAAAGACTGTGATTAATACGGAGTAATTGTTAAGAAGAAAGAAATGTAGTGAATCACAACATTCTTTTCTTAAAAAAATGGGGAAAAAATGTAATTTGATTATACAACAAAACATAAAAATGTAAAATTTATTGTGACACGATTAAAAGAAAAGCAAGACATTTTTTTGTTCATTTGATTATATATACAACAAAACGTGCATATAAATACTCGAAATGTGAAGTACTTTGTTCATATTGTATGCAACTCACAAGTCACAATGTTGAATTCATGATTCCATTTTTTGTTCATTTACAAATTTTCTCTTTGGCATTGTTTTGTAAATTTCTGGATTCAAGTGAATTTGATTACCAATATCATGCTATGATCAAAACTTCTAAGATCGATATTTAAAAAATTAATAGTTCTTACCTTAATTTTTCACATAAAACATTGTAGAACTTTTAAATTATCTTATGATATTATGACCAGTGTTACATTTTTTTTTTTGAAAGCATGACAAATGTTACATAAATGGTCTTACTCATTAAAAAAATCAAACTAAAATATGGTTATGAGGGTGAAGTGATATAAAGGCGAAAATGGGGTTTTTCCACGGTGGTAGTTCACATGCTTGAAGGAATGAACGAAGGCATCGCTGGCAGGGGCAGTCCACACTTGTGGAACAGTAGTGGATGAAGGAAGAAAGTCAAAGTCAACATTCGATCCCATCACACCTCCGACTTTGAACATTCAACTTTTCAGTTTTTACCCGCCGCAGCTAGTGGGCTGCCGTCCACATTTAACGGCGACACAATTTACTGCCGACCAGATTTTTTTTAAAACTTTCTGTTGGAATTTCTAGTTAGTGTCCGAAATCTCGTACTACATCCATCTCTAAATATTCACAACATTTGCTTTTTCAGCCGTCGCGAGAATTTTTGTTTATTTCGACGTTTTCATTGGTTATTTGATAAAATAAAATATTCTTGACACCTCTTATTTCGAAAAACTTTTCATGTAGTTTTTTTATATGTAAATTTTATTTTTTATTTTTATACCAATATGTAAATAAAAAGAATTGAAAAAACTTAATATTTTGTCTTGGGAATACAAATGTGACAAATAATTTGGGACGGATGGAGTATTTGAATGGCTAATAATATCCCCTCCATCAAGAAACAAATTTCGAAACAAATTTCTTGTTCACTATTCACAGTCAAATTTTGTTTACTTTGTTAGCCTATTTTTGTTACCCATTTGATAAAATAATATAGTCTTGTCACCTTTAGTTTTGTAAATCTTTTGATATAATTTTTTAATATATAATTTTTATTTTTAAATTTTATACCATTTTTCGTATAAAATGATTTGAAGATAACTTCAGTCAAACATCATAATGCGCAAATAATTTGAAGATAACTTCAGACAATATACCAATCTTGTTTGAATTTTTCGAATCAAACAAGATGAAGTTTGAATTTCAATCAAATAAAAAGTGTAATGTAGATTAGTATCAAAAAGATTTTATTATATTTATTTTATTAAGAACTTTCAAAATTTTAATTTATTGTACCAATATGCGATATAAATTGAGACTAATTTAATCTAAAAAAAATTCCAGGTTGATTCATAAAAGACAAACTAGACACGGAGATAATATGTCACTTCTATTTTAGGAATAAAACTACTACGTATGTTTTACTTATATATTGGCGATTTCTTATTAAAATAAAAAAGGCATATTTAGTGGATGTGTGGAATTAAAGTTACTAAGAGATTGTTTTTTTAGAACAATTCTCATCTACTACCTCCGTCCCAGAGTATTTGTCCACTTTCATTTTTACACACCATCGAATACACTTCTTTATTCCATTTTATCTTGTAATTTGTATATTAAAAAATTATACGGAGTAGAAATTATACATTAATAATCTATATGTTAAGACAAATCAAACAAGATCACACGTGACTATATTTAGGCTTACACATTGAGAGAATTTGATGAGTCAAAGTGCTTAGATGAACAGTTCCAAAAGTCAAAAGTGGACGAATATAGCATGACGGAGGGAGTATAAAGAAAACAAATTTACGATGTTCTATTTTTAAAAATTAATAATTTCTACTGTCACTAACACCAGCCGTAACACCCATTGCATGTCCTTGCAAGTTGCACCCCTCCTCCATTCGCAAATTAGCTATAGTAGTTATTGTAGCCAATCCACGAAAGGAGTGACTAGGGGTGGCAAGGGGTAGTAAATATGAACAATCAATTTTTTTTAAACACAACATTGTAGGGGCCTTAATTTGGGTCCATGTCATATTATGACATTGATTACCAATATCACATGAACCACTCTATTTTTGTTTAAGGTTGGTGATGGAATAATGGGCTTGCGTGGTCTAGGCCTGAACTAATATCAACGAGAGGGAAAAGGGATTCAAACGAGGTAGGGAGGAAGGCTTCTGAGCGGCCCGACCTGCAAGGAAGAGATGAGTCTCCAGCCCGGTCCGATTGCGCACAAGGAAGGGGTCTTCTCATTTATAAATACTTAAAGAAAATAATTTATAACATTTAACTAAAATTATATATATTAATATATTTGAGTTATTTTACTAAATTAATAAATAAAAGTTACATATTAAAAAAATAATATTAAAATTTTATAAATGAAGATTTGATTTTATTTTTTTCAAATAAGTTGTTTCATATTAAAAATACTCAAATGAAATCTTTGCATGATATGCATTTTGTAATAGTATCAATAATATTAATGATTTTGTGTTTGACTCATAGCTATACTATATTATATTTTTAAAATTGAAAAGAAATTTTTATACAATCTTTTTTAATTATGAAATATCACTAAAGATTATGTGAACTTATAACAAAAAACCACTCTTGTTTGGATGGTTAGTAATTCAACAAATGTCTAAGAGATCTTGAGTTCAAACCCCTGGGCCGGACCGGTTGGACAACCGGTTTACCGGTTCACGGTCCGAACCGGCCAGTCCGGTCCGAGTTCTAAAACTATGCTTTGACTACGGCCATAAGTCAAAAAGATTATTTTATTTTTTTAAATTATCAATAAAATAAATTATGAGTTACAATTGTAAAAGATAATTTGACCCAACAAATAATAAAATAAAATACTATTCCAGGGTTAATGAAGAATAATACTCCCTCCGTTCCCAATTTGATTACAAATTGCGGGTTACGGAGTAAAATTTTCTATTTTTTGAAATCATTTTATTTACAAATTGGTATATCAATAAGATATAAAAATTGCATATTAAAAAATTAAGTCAAAAGTTCTACAAAACAAGAGGTGACAAGACAATTTTATTTTATCAAATAGTTAATGAAATCACGTAAACAAATAAAAGTTATCGAGAGGAGATAGAAAAAATATTGTAATCTATTTAGGGACGGAGGGAGTACAATATACGAAGTAAATATCATGTGTGACTACTAATATGGTCTATGAAGAGCTTGTTTGAGAATAGCGTTAGAGATTAACGTCAGCGTTTTGGATAAAATATTAACGGTGTAGATTACTTTAAAAACGCTAACGCTAAACGCTGCCCGCAGATAGTCTTTTCAAAACGCTAACGCTAATCGCTAAAGTTATTCCCAAATAGGCTCGAAATCTAGAATGAACCTCAAAGTTTTCTAAAGATTTACACTAAAATGCACATTATTTTATAAGTTTAGTGGGACTAATTATTTTTCACTTAAATTCAGTGGGACAAAAGTAGTAATTAATTTATACTTTAATTTAATTACCTAAAAACTTAAACAAATTCCATTAGGTAGTGTTTGGCAACTAGCATTTCAAAAGTTAAGTACGTAAAGTTTAGGTTTTAAACTTTAGGACTTAAAGTTTACTGTTCCCCTCCACGTACCTAAAATTTAATTCGAACCAAAACTTACATTTCTTAAACTAAGTTTAGGTTTAAGTTTTACGAATTCAAAGGGTTTGTACCTTAAATTCGGTTTAGGCCTAAACAAATCCAAATCCATGTTCCCAAACATATCATTAAAGTTTTCCAAAAAAATTAAAATATTCCCATAAAAGTATTGTTAGAAAACATTTAACCTCAACCCTCAAGATTGGGTGGGATATCCGTGTCATTATGTATGATCTTATCGCACTCACTCATCTTTCACTGATTTCATTGCCAACCTTTATTAATGGTCTGAATTCTCAGGCAAAATTGTAGGCGTGGTGACCGGAGAAAAGAATGATTCTGTCAAATCCCGTCACAACAACTTGGGCAAAGACCCATTCTCTTTGCTGTAGATCCACCTTCGCCGGGCCGCCATTTCCGAGCTCCACCAGAAGAAGCCATCTTCCTCAATCTTGCTCCGCCACTCGCACTAAAGACCAGACAGATGTCTCACCCAAGCTCGATTTCAAGAGGTACGTCATGGAGAAGGCGACGTCGGTGAACAAGGCCTTGGAAGGCGCAATCTTGCTGAAGGAGCCGCTCAAGATCCACGAATCCATGAGGTACTCCCTCCTCGCCGGCGGCAAAAGAATCCGACCCATGCTCTGTCTCGCCGCATGCGACCTCGTCGGCGGCGACGAGGAAGCCGCCATGCCCGCGGCCTGCGCGGTGGAGATGGTCCACACCATGTCCCTGATCCACGACGACCTTCCCTGTATGGACAACGACGATCTGCGGAGAGGGAAGCCCACGAACCACAAGATATACGGCGAGGACGTGGCGGTGCTCGCCGGCGATGCTCTACTCGCCCTCGCCTTCGAACACATAGCCACAGCCACCAAAGGGGTTTCTCCCGGGAGAATTTTAAGGGCAATCGGCGAATTGGCCAATTGTGTAGGGTCGGAAGGTCTTGTGGCCGGGCAGGTTGTTGATTTATGCTCACAGGGAGTTTCCGATGTGGGATTAGAGCAATTAGAGTTCATCCACCTGCACAAGACTGCAGCTTTGCTGGAAGGGTCAGTGGTGTTAGGGGCGATTTTGGGCGGAGGAGGGGATGAGGAGATAGAGAAGCTGAGGAAATTCGCGAGGAACATCGGGCTGTTGTTCCAGGTGGTGGATGATGTTCTTGATGTCACAAAATCATCGGAGGAGTTGGGGAAGACAGCTGGGAAGGATTTGGTTGCAGACAAGGTGACATATCCCAAGCTGATTGGGATTGAGAAGTCTAAAGAGTTTGCTGCAAAGTTGAATGAAGAGGCTCAGTCTCAGCTCACTGGGTTTGATCAAGAAAAGGCAGCTCCTTTGATTGCTCTTGCCAATTACATTGCTCACAGGGACAATTGATTCTGCTGTAATTTGATTATATGATACTGAGAGATGGAAAGATGTCATTGTTAAATTGTTGTATTATAGCTGATTGATATCAATTAGCTTTTATAGTTGATGAAAACACTTTCTTGAAAAACATTGATATAAGCAAAGAAAAGGAATTGAAACATTCAAAAAGTAACAATAAACAAGTTTATAGAGTTCATTCTTCTGGATTTAACTATGCAATAGTAAAAATAATGACAATAACAAATCGAGTCCTCTTTGATTTTATTCTCACCATCTGCTGAAAGTGAGTCCTTTACATTTTTTATTTAATTTATCAATCTGCATTTCTTGTTACTTCTGTTTGACAAGTGATTTGTGATGTTAGAAGCCGGAGGGTCGTTGGTATTGGCTGCCCTACTGGACTTTGTTGACTCTGGTCAAGACTTGATTCTGGCTGCTGATGCCAATGCGTCTGGTTTGATGTGGTGTTGATTTTGATGAGGTATCTCTCAAAGATTGATCTATTGACTACTACTTTAGTTAGTTTCTTTCACATTTTTTTTTGTTATGGACTTCAACTGTTATGCTGGTGAAAAATGAAAACCTTGATGTCCATTCTTATTGCCTCCATCTCTTGCTGGGTCTTCCATCTCATTGGTTTCAGTAATGCAGGTATATATATATATATATATATATATATATATATATATTGTTTTCATGTTGTTAGTTCACAAACATTATGTACTCTTTCTTTATAAATTTGGTTAATCCCTTCGGTGAACTTATGCTGGGATTCGTGATAACCAGGCTAGAAATAATGCACACATTTTGATATCTGGTTCTTTATCAATGTTCGGTGATAGGTGTGTATAGTCCTAAAATTGCATTCACTTTGTTTTTCGTACTCATTGGTTGACAGGCTCAACTTAACTCTTCGTGTACTTCCAGAGTTCACAGATCAGGAGTGCTGAAAGCTGGGACTTCAACTAAGTGCGTGAAGTTCTATATTTTCTTGCCAGTTCCAACAATATTTCCATTTATTTATTCAGAAGATCAATTTTCTGGGATTCTCTCAAATTACCCATTTCTTAGAGTACGAGTTTGGATCCACAAAAGCAGCTGTACATTGTCCATCCCTTGATTTTGGATTCAGATTTTACATTTTTCTGTCACATGCCATCAATCTGAAGCACCGCAAAATTGATGAAAAAGAAGAACGCGCGGTGTATAGGATCGTAAACTTAGTACCACGCTGCACCTTTTTTGGAAACCACACTGTTCATTTGGTTTTTTTTACCACTAATTTATCTAGCAGAAGTTCTTGATAATGAAAAAAACAATGAATGGAAGTGCTTTTTTGGGCTAAAGTTGCTGAAGTTGATGAGGGTTTGGTTGCAGACAAGGTGACATATCCCAAGCTGATTGGGATTGAGAAGTCTAAAGAATTTGCTGCAAAGTTGAATAAAGAAGCTCAGTCTTAGCTCACTGGGTTTTTTTTATTATTATCAAGAAAAGGCAGCTCCTTTGATATATTGCTCTGCCAATTACATTATTGCTCATAGGGACAATTGATTCTTCTACAATTTGATTATTTGATGTTGAGAGATGAAAAGATTTCAATGTTAAATTCGGGTCCGTTTGGTACACGGAATTAGAATTGAATTGGAAGTTGAAATTCTATGAAATTCATTTGGATGGAATTGAATTCTCCAATTCCAATTCATTTTTGGCACTACCAATTCTAAATTCACCAAACAACAGAATTGGAATTGTTGTCTATAATTCAAATTCCATAATTTGAATTTCGTGTACCAAACGGAATCTTAATGTATTTACAGCTAATTGATCACAATTCGCTTTTAGAGTGATGAAAACCATTTCTCAAAGAACTATTGATCTCCCTAATTTGAACATCATGTGATGATGACTCTGGATTTTCTGGGGAGGGAGGTCTTAATTCAGAACCAGTATGATATAAAGTTGATCAAATTACGTGTCAAAACTATGGAAGCCAAACACATTTTAAAAAGGAATTGAACATTCACAAAGTGTCAATAAACAAGTTTAGAGAGTTCATTCTCCTGGTTTTAAGCTTTTTTTAAATAGAGTATATAGTCTTTATGCATTAGTAAAGAATAATTTTGGGAAGGATCTTATAGAAGTAGAGTGGGGGAAAGATATTTAAGAAGATTTAACCTTATTGAAAGTAAATTAAAAGTTACTCGTCTAAGAGACCGGAGTGCGATAGTAAATTATACTCCTTCCGTCTCAAAATGTTTTACGCTTTACGTAAAATTAAAATGAAATTTCAAGTTTTTAAAATTCATTTTAATTAATGGTTGGTATACAGAAATTAAATATAAAACTTACACATTTAAGAATTGCGTCAGAAATTTTACAAAATAAAATGTAATAAAAATATTTGATTTTATCAGATAATCAATAAAAATGTACAAATAAATAAAGAGTTTTGTGATATTAGAATAGTGAAGGGTGTAATTCTTTGCAAGAGAGAGCATTAAAAATTTGGTTAGCAAAAAGTGTAAATTTGGTTATTAAAAACTAAAAATTGTACAGCAGTTTTGGATCTTTTTCGCATGAAAAAGGTAAATCTCTGCTCAGGGCGTTAACCCAAAATTTTTTTTAACGGTCAACCAAATCCCCACACTGGACGAAGCCCTCTCTTCTTCCGTTCTTCGTCTTCTGGAAGTCCAGATCCGGAAACCCTAGCTCCGCCAAGTGATCATGGAGAAACTCCGCGCCATTCTCTTCGTCACATTGATTGTACTGTGCCCAAGCTTAACCCGGTCATTCTCGCCCGACAACCCGACGGATCGCCGCATTCTTGTTCTGATCGACGACGCATCCATCAAGTCATCACACTCCCTCTTTTTCAAATCTCTCCAATCTCGTGGTTTCGAGCTTGAGTTTAAGCTAGCTGATGATCCCTCCATCTTTGTCCAAAGATATGGACAATACATGTACGATGGGCTCATTTTATTTTCACCATCTGCTGAAAGTGAGTCCACTGATGTTCGTTCAACTCATCTTTCATTTGATTTTTTTTTTGAATTTATCAATCTGCATTTCTTGTTACTTCTGTTTGACAAGTGATTTGTGCTGTTAGAATTTGGAGGGTCGTTGGACTTGGCCGCTGTACTGGACTTTGTTGACTCGGGTCGAGACTTGATTCTGGCTGCCGATGCCAATGCGTCCGGTTTGATCCGTAACATAGCTGCAGAGTGTGGTGTTGATTTTGATGAGGTATCTCTTAAAGTTTTCTTTTTTGTTATGGACTTCAATGGTTGTGCTGATGAAAAATGAAAATCTTGATGTCCATTCTTATTTCATATTGAAATTGGTTGACAAGAAAACTGATCATTGAGAGGTGAATACAAATTGAGCCCGCAAGGCCTGAAATTTGAAAATGCCATTGTATCCATCTTTCAAATGGTCAATCAACTTTAAGTGTGTTGCGTGGAAGAATTAAATCTGATCTTTGTGTATTTTTTATTGAATGATTTAATCTGTGAAAGTGAAGTTTCACATTGAATGAATATCGAATCTTTAAGAGGAAATGCTCATTGTGGCTTATAGTATTTCTTTTGCTTCTAAACAAATGCCAATTTCACGTTTTCACCTTTCAATATTTTTCTTAAACTTCATGAAATCAAACTATTTCTTTTTTAGGGACAAAGGGATTATAGTAGAAAAATGTAATAACTAGGTATGGACGATTGTCTTGGGTTCACAATCTCTTTTTTCTTAATAGTTAGCCTTGGTGATCTAATACTTCATCAATGTGGTCTTTGTCCTTGATCCATTAAACTGAAATCTAATGGTAATGTTCATGCAACAGGATCCTTCTGCCATGGTTATTGATCATTCTAGCTATGCTATCTCTGAAACTGAGGGAGATCATACTCTAATTGCATCTGACAGTTTTATTGAATCCAGTGTTATCTTAGGAAGTAGAAAGGTTGAGGTTAGTTTTGAATTTAACGTATAGCATTTAAATAGCTTCAAGCCATTTTACAGGTTGGAATCGTGAAAGTTCACTTTCTGTGCATACATGCATATCTGACACGTTTACATCTGCTTGAGGACCATTATCATAAGTTCCTTTGACTGTGCACTCTCTTCTTTCTTGACCATCATTATTTTTCTCTTTTGTAACTCTTGCCATCACATTCTTGGAACATTTGTTACAAAAATCATTTTCTGGATTAATGTTTTCAATTTTGTAATTATGATCAGGCTCCAGTACTATTCAGAGGGATTGGTCATTCATTAAGTCCTGATAATAGCTTGGTAATATTATAAAAATAATACTACGTACATGTTTGGTCTACATCTAAATTATTCTATGACTAGTAATATTCAAGTGCATGTTTCATAAAGCTTCTTTTTCTTGGTGATTGAATTTTGTCATAGGTCTTTAAAGTCCTTTCAGCTTCGCCTTCAGCATACTCTGCTAACCCTAAGTACACATTGGTAAAGCCTCCATCTCTTTCTGGGTCTTCCATCTCATTGGTTTCAGTAATGCAGGTATATATTTTGTTCTCATGTTGATGTACATCTTCTTTATAAATTTGGTTAATCCCTTCAGTTAATTTATTTTGGGATTTGTGATAACCAGGCTAGAAATAATGCTCGCATTTTGATATCTGGCTCTTCATCAATGTTCAGTGATAGGTGTGTAGTCCTAAAATTGCATTTACACTTTTTTTCATACTCTTTAGTTGACAAGCTCAACTTACCTCTTATCGTACTTCCAGATTTTACAGATCAGGCGTGCTGAAAGCTGGGAGTTCAACTAAGTGGGTGAAGTTCTATATTTTCTTCC